AAATAGATGATGATTTCTAAATAGATGAGGACTGTGAATGAGAGTTATGATTTCCGGAGTTGACTCTTATAATTAATAAGTAGTTTTTTCATACACAATTTCATATCCACAAAGCCTAATAAATTACTACTCGTAGCTCTTTTGCTCGTTAGATTATTCTGTACAAGTTTAATTAAGTATTTCATTGAAAATATTAAGTGCGTATTTATATCTCATTTCTACATATTTACTCTTCTATACTTACAATATATTCAACTCGTACACGAATATTCACCAAAAATATTATAATAATAAATTTCAATATAATTTTATTTCAAAAAAAAAAAAATTATAAGACAAATCGAAGGCGCCTAAATTGCATATAAAGTCTTTTTTTTTTCATATTTAATTTATTTCCATGTCATTCCCAATGAATATATGTATATATATATGAAAATATTGCTTCCAGCATTACATTTATTGAACATTATCCACAAAGAGTGTACTCAAAATTTTCATTGCCATAAATAGTTTACAAGTGCGTTCTCATAAATAAATGACAAACTTTTTTTAATAATTTTTTTTTGGAATGCAAGTCATGGAACGCACAAATCAACATGTTATCACTTTTTCTTTTCTTTTATTTATATAAGTTTACAAAAGTGTACGTTTCTCACATGTGCCCATAATTAAATTTCACATTATTGTTTATACACACATAAAGAGCTGCATAACACTTCCCTACATGATTCTTAAACATTATGACATCACATATAGGGTTATTATCGATAAAGTAAATTTTAAATTTCAGTTCCACCCAACCTTTTCTAAAATTTCAATGAAATATTTTATTACTGAATTATTGAAATTAGAATGAAATTAATTAGAAAATTTTTGAAAAAATATTAAATTTTATCAATTTTATTGGCATGGCAGTATATTATTTTATTCTAAGCGTTTCTAACATTTTGGAACGAAAATTACTAGTTTTATTTATTCACCAAGCTTTGCTAATAGTCGAAAAAAAATTAGATCTGGTTCAAAAATGACTCAACATTATATCAAATATACATACAAAATTTATTATATGTCAGTATTTTTACTATCATGACAATTATACCATACATTGCAAAATAAAGAATAGTAAAAATTTCGCTTGTAATAATGGGCCGTAGTCCGAGAGTCTTGCTATTTACTGAATGATAGTGACATAGCAATCATCTGAATGTAGGAACCACAAAATTATGTTATTCCTTTTTTAAATTACGGCAACATAAAATATCATAATTTTTCGACTGAAACCCTCTCCACATACAAAGTCATGCTTATATTATAAAAGTTAGTACTAAATATCACCTTATCACAGTCAAATATCACCCGAATTTAACAATTAAATGACGAAAGTAATATAACATTCAAATGAGTTTATTGTCATATAACTATATATTGTTCTTATTGTTCTACATTACTGAAATATTGTAAAAAGGTTTCCGTTCACTGGAATCACTATACAATGTTCTTCATTGTTAGAGAAAATATTAATTATATTTTGAACTTAAATTGACAATGTCAATACTAAATGGTTGATATGATTGTGAGCGAACTATGAAAATTTTCTCCCATAATGTAAATTTCATATATGTATATACAAGCGTTCTTTGATTGTATATGACAGAAGTGGAAGAAAAAATTTTTTTAAATGCGCGTTCTTTATAAATTAAAACTTTCTAATACTTAAAAAATAATTTGAATTGAATCAAGAACAGATAGTGTGTGAGAGCACATTTTGTTTTTACAATTTTTGATGTCAAAAATTCAAATCTTACGGATTTCGAGCTAAAAGCTGCTCAAATTTCATATTTTTTAATCTTACCGTCTATAGAAGAGGAACAATACTAAAAATTTAAAAAAACCAGTTTTAGGTAACAGTTTAGCGGCAGTTTACAGGGTTTAGGTTTCGTTACCATTCGAAACCATTTTTGTTGTTGCGATACAATTAATAGTCAAAAAAATGACATTTTTAGTAATTTCGCGAGCTTAAACTTTTCAGAAGAGGGAGAAAGGGTAAAAATAGAATTCTGTTATAGAAACAAGTTTCTAGTAATGCCTTCTTTATATTGGAATTTTCAGCTTTCTTTCTTAAAAGATGTAGAAGTTTTGTAAACAGATTCACGGACGAACGGACAAAATTTCATTAAAAGGACAAAAGGACAAAGTAAGACATTATTTTTAAGTCCTTTTTTCAGTTTTTTCTCTTTTTTTCAAAAGTGCTTAATATGTATATATATACATATATATATCTATATATATATATATATATATATATATATATATATATATAACTAGCATTGTTTTGGTAAAAACACTTTTTTATTGAAATTATTCTCATTTTAAATCTCGTTACTGCAAATTTTGCATACTTTAAAGGAAGAAATTTCCTTTTCTTAGTACATAATACAATAGATAATTGTGTTTGTATAGTTGTATCACAAAATCATTGTCAGGCTTTCGGTTTTGGGATGAACCAAGGAGATGAACGTTAAACTATTAGCAAGTTTTAGCACTTGAAAATTTTACGTGATATGGAGCAAAGTATAGAGAAATATTTTAAGCTTTTAACTACATGCCTAGTTAAAGTATTAGCAATTTTGAGATATTGTGATATTATTCTCCGCTTATTACACGAGTTAACATAAAACCACAGTTTCTCATGAGCTAAGCTGATGAAAATGAATTCTTCCAACCTATAATGGCAATAGAGAAGGGAGTAGTATGAGAGGATTAATAACAGTTCTCAATACAAAGATCGTAGAATTTTAGTGAACTAGTGTATATGGAAAGACCACATGGACAGATAATATCTTTTTCCTTCAAATTTTCTTGAATTAAAATATGCCATAAATATAATAATCTCATCATATACGATAATGTTTTTTCTATATACTCATCACTATATTTAGGTACATATTTGTAAAAATTTCAAAGAGCCCTTTTCTAATTTCAAATGCATATATATACGAAGCATAATATATAAGTGCATAATATAAACCTATTTATAATAATGTTGACTCTATAATGATATACAAGTACTCATAATATTATAATAGATGGTGGATTGTGTCACGAATATGTAATAAGAATTTTAAATTTTTTAGATAGCGCCTATAAATATGGACAATCTCATAATAATAATTTCATCTTCATTAAAAATGCTTAGTCATTCACTCAATATGTGCTTATGTAAAGCTTGTATTACATAGAGTTGCGTCAATATTTATTCAATATCAAGGGAATATTGCATTATAAATCTAAATATATGGTTAAGTATCTACATGTCATGTATATATATAGTTGCAGCAGCATTTATTTTATGCCTATTTTAAAATCTTGTATGTAGGGAATGCAGAAAAATTTAAAATTATTATTATTGATTTAACCTAGTTTTTGAAACAAAGTAAATGGTACTACTTTATATATGAAGTCTTCTGTAAGTACGATAAAATGTAAAGTACAAAATGTTTAATTGTTGAATGGTTGTATACAATTGTAATAAACCATATAGGACGGCACGTAATGTAGGTTTTAAGGGATTTTTCCACTATTTTTTTTTTGTTGCTGTTTTGCTTCTACAATTTGTACTTCAATGATTTCTCATTCATATATAGGAGAGTGCAATATTATTATGTGACCACGCATATTATATATGGGCTCATAAAAAATGGACTCAGATATTTTTGTTTGATGATTCAGAATAAAGTGATCTTCATTATTATTATTTTTTATTTCTATTTCTATTTGCTTTTTTTATTTTAATTTTAAACTTTTAGTTTTTTAGGTTATAGTAGTTAAGTTTTAGTATTTTAATTATTTTTTTTTTCTTTCTTATGTGCATATATGGGAATTTTAAATTGTCGTCATCATGCATTTCAAATTCTAAATATAGGTTAAATATGAAATTTTAGAATAGTTTAATGGGTCTGAATTAACACTTAACAGGCTCGCTTCTGACTTATTCGGCACCTTATTCACTATTCAAAATGTGCGGCCTCCGCCCAATAAGTTTTTTATGCGTTGAAAAGTATTCAGTTAACATTGCAAATTGTGCCTAATAAATCCCTTTCTTACTGAGTTAAACTTTATCATACTGAGTACAAGATAACTAATACATAGAGTTAAAACCTGGAATTAAACTTTCAACTTTTTGTTTTGTAAATGTTTGTATATAGAAAGAATAAAATCTTTTATGTGCTATACCGGAAAAAATTTTTATTTTTTCATATTTTTATGGTTTTTATTTTAATCTTTTCCACAGCGTTTTTGTTTTTTGACGCCCTTTGCAAATGCTTACTTTGCATATATGGCGAATCCGGCACTGTATTATAAAAAAAAATACGAAGAAGACAACACGATATACATATGCGCATTATCCGAAAGTAACCATTTATTATCATCTGGCTTTAAAAATAATAGGTCATTTTAAATTTAAGCAATGTAATGTATTTGTCTGTAATTTTAGACAATTACTTTTAAGTTTCAAAATACACGGAGTGTATTAAACCTTTGTTTTGGCGTGGGTAAGATCTTTGTTCTCGAGGCAAAACACCACGACTTCAAAGATTTTAAGAAAATTTTACATAATAAGTCTAATTTTAATGAACATATATATGTTCTCAATAATCCCAAGGCACAGGGCTTATCTATAGGGCAATATATTCAAATATGGAGCTAATTAACTAGAATAGCTAGTTAGGAGCTAATTGTATAATTTAGAAATGATTAGGCCATGTTTAATATGCACTTTACTGTATAATTAATTCTCAATGTAAAACAAAGAAACTCTTATTTGTGTTGGCCTCCATAGTGTTCTGCTGATGGCCTCTATAGTTCATAACTCCTGATAACCCTAACAGCAAAATTTTTTATTAATTCTATTAAAAATAAAATAATTTTCTCATTATAAATTTAAATTAGAGAAATTTACTAATTATACATTATTTTTTGTTTCTTTCTCTTTTATTTAGGATGCCCAACAACAGCTGATACAGCATGTTTACGTTGTAATATTGAAGGATGTATTAAATGTCCTGATTTATTAATACAAGATACAAGAACATGTATTAATAGTACATGTCCATCTGGTTATTTACAACAATGGTCATCATCACCAGATTTTATGGGTAAAATATGTATACCACAGGGTATGTCAGCACCGTTATTAGCTGTTATAACTGGTTTAATATCAGGTTGTATAATATGTTTTTCATGTTTAATAATTGCTATTATACTTATTAAACGTAAACGTCGAAAAAATGCTATTAAAAAGAAATTAATACATGAAACAACAATGGATCGTTCCGATTTTTTAAGGCAATTAGAAGAGATGCGTCCAAATGCTGAATATTTTTTAGCAATGTTAAATGATACAAGACGTCAAATACGTAAATTATATTTATCTGGTGAAATTGAAACAGCAAATGCATATAGACCAGTTATTAGAGATTTAGCAAAAATTTTAATATTATTAAATCGTCCAATTGAATTAATACCAGCACCACCAAATGATTGGAATCATATATATACATGGGCTGAACAATCATTAGAAAAATATAAACCAAAAATAGGACAATTAATTGATTTCTTTCAATCACCAACTACTACAACAACATCACATCATGGTAATAACGGTGGTATCGGTGGTATTAATAGTGATTATTATGATAATGGTAGTCAACAATTTAGTGATAATTATGGTGGTAGTTTTAATGGTAGTAGCTTTTATGGTGGTAGTAGAGTTGGTGATAATGGCCCAAATAATGCTAGTGATTTACGTGTATATCATTTACATCAAAATCATTTACAATTACAACGTAATAAAAATTTCCAATTATTTGGTTCATTAATTAGTTTACATGAATTAGAGGATAATTCAAGAACAACAGATCCATTTGGTAGTAATTTTAATACATTAAGAGCTGGTATCGGTGGTGGGATTAATGGTGGTGGTCCCAACTCTGGTACATTAGGTATTGGTGGTAATTTAATAACAGATTTAAATGCTAGTTCATTATGGTTAGAAGATGAATTTTTTAGATTAGGTTTTCGGCCACAAGATGAAATTACGACTGAATTATGAAAATAATATTAATTAATTTTAAAAATAAAGAATAAAAACGAAAAAAAAATGAATGAATTTAATTTTAATAATTAAACAATAAAATTTTAAAATTTGAATAGACGTTGAATATTTTTTTTTTTTGTTTTTCACCTGTTGTTAAATAATAATTATTTTAAATTAGTAAAATTAATAAAATATTATTTTAAATATTTTAAAATTAAAATTAAATATTCACCACGTAAATGCACCTATACTTTAATATACGCCGTAATAACGTAATTTACGTATCGTAATTACGTAATTATCGTAAATGATCGTATAATCTAATTAATATCGTAAAGCTGATCGTATATTTTAATTAATATTATCTTAAAATACGATCAGTTTATAATTTTTCATGAATCTCGTTCAATTATAATGATTCAAGAGTGATAATTTAAGCCTGCGGTATTGCGATAATGAGGAAAAAACCAAACAAGAGGCAGTTTGATATTGCAAGGTTATTTCATTCATATGATCAGGATAGTGTAAATTAGAGTCGGAATATTAAAAAATTCTATGCTCTTGTCCAGCTTTGGCACGGAGAAGGTGGATGTAAATTCTAGGGTTCTTAACCGGTTCATAAAAGACATGGACTGATTCACGTAAGAGGGGGATTTGGAGATCCAGCGGTATCACAATGTGCCTAATTATATGTAAGTGGGGTCTCGGCTGGCCGCGTCAACCTAAACCTAACCTAAACCTAAGAAAAGAGGTCGGATAAAAATATTTAAAAAAAAAAGGTCGAAACCGAATTCTAATACGAAACGAAAACCAGAATGTATGTCGAATTCGCGAAATTTTATGCCGATTACGCACGCCTGAATTGTTGTAGTTCTTGAAATGCTATCAAGAACGTATTGTATAGAATACACATTAAATTAATTTCTTTAGATCACGACATTAGATATTTCTGAAAACGTATATTAAGGTTTAGGTGTAGGGCTAAAATAAACCGAAATATTTATATGTAAATTTTTTTTTTAAATAAAAAATTTGTATAAAAGTAATAATATATGAGTAGATATATTGTGTTAATGTACATAATATATAACAAAAAAATTGTGATGAAATATAAATATAAAATATAAAAAATTTCAATTAATAGAAATTATTTTAGAAAATTAAAAATTAAATTATAATTATATAGACTTTAAATATTTTAAATAATAATAAAAAAAAAATGGCTCACAAAAAATATAAAATATAGATTTTTTATAGAATTAATAAAATTTTAATTATAATATGTAGATAAAAACCAAAAAAAAACTACTTTGCTATACTAAAAATCTAATTTGTATAATGATAAAGTATAGGGTGTTTTATTATTAAAATATAATGTAGATAGTAATTTACTCACCATATTTTTGAGTGTTTCTCAAAATTTAAATCCATAATTTGTTTAAATTAGTCTAATGAAAATAGCCCCGATGGGCTGCATTTTAAAAGATTCAAATTAATCCATAATGTTTCTAAAATATTAAATTCTCCTTTGAGTGAATTCCCACGATTTCATGGTTTAAAACTGATTTATTTAGTTCCCACCATTTCATGGTTTAAAACGAGTTTATGTATAGTTATGTTTACAGCTCCGCGCTGAAATAATAATTTTAAGAGTAATATAAAGAAGAGTCACAATAAAATACGGCGGGATTGTTAACGAGCGAGGCTTCTAAGAAAACGGCAACTGAAGTACAAGCTTTCAGTCGGAATAATTTTTCACCAATTATACGAATTTAAAATTCTTGTGAACTTATTATTATTATTGCTATTTCTTAGACAAAACAAAATTTATTAAAATTTTAAACAATTTTTTGTTTTTTAAATATAGTAAATCACCCTATTACATTTCGTTACATTTTAAATATTGTAATAAGAGAAAAAATCACAAAATAATAGATAAATTTTTTTAATTGTAAATTTTTTTTTAGATTTTAAGGAAATTAAATCACAAAATATTTTAATTATTAAAATTATTATTTATTAAAATATAAAAATATGAAAAGATGAAATAAAACAAAAAAAATTAAAATAACAAAACTGAAAAAGAAAATATTATTGCTTTTATTTATTTAAAAAAAAAAAACTTAAAACAGCTCATACGCCCAGCTCACCTTATAGAGATGCTCAAAATTTCCCAAACAGATGGAAAAATTTTATGTGTTCTGGATGCCAAATGGAATTTTGAATATTTTTAAATTCAAATTTTCCAAATTCTCTCTGAGATTTAATGGTCGCATGGTTTGTTTTATACTCTGCTAGAAATTGGAAAGAAGAAGAAAAACTTTTTGTTTTAGTTTTTTACTACTTTCTCTGAATGCTTTAAATTTCAATTAATTAAAAAGTAAACTATAAATATATTGACTATTCTATTATCGAGTTCATATCCATACCACTTTAAGAGAAGCAGTAGTTGATGATTTCATATTCTGTATAAGAACAATAAAATATTATTACATCTTTCACATTTAAATTTATAAACTTATTTTCAGTCCTACAAAGCACTCCTATAGCTACTGAATTTAATTTTTATATAGAATTTCAATAAATTAAAAAGAAGTTGGTTAGAAAATTTGTATTTTTGTTCTATAAAATTAGTTCCTATTGTGAATAGGAATATTCAAAAATCATCCTATTATAAAATACAATTATATGAACGAACTATTTATTCAAGACACAAACCAAGAGAAAAAATATTAATATAGAAATTTAATTGCATATATTTAGGATTTTAAAAATTTACTTTGCAATTTTAGCAATTATGAAATATTGCATAAATTTAGGAATGGAAATTAAGAAAAATTCATTTTCAAAATTTTGTGAACTATGAACATTAAAATATTCATTTTTGATTCATTTGCTACAAAGCGTTCACATCACAAAACATTCTGCGCGAAAATTTCTTAATATCGAAAAAATTTAATTATCAATGTTAAAAAAATAATATTAACAAAAGTTCAAAATAATAAGAATGAATTTAGATAATTCTTCGAATAAAATAATACTTGATACAAATATAGCGACTCACTCAATTGTTTCCAACAAGATTCATAATAATGAGGCTCTTAACGTGTGAATATAAAACAATTATATGTATACCGTGCTCCGTTGAATTAGAATAAGAGATTTTAATATGACAAAAGAGCTTAGAAAAAATTAAGAATTTTATGAGAATTTAGTGATCAAGTTAGGAAATGAAAAGAAAACTTAGAAATTTTTTCTTGATATTTCCACATTAAAGGGTATTTTTTGAAATTTTATTATTCAAATGAGGGATTACAAAACATTTAAAGTCTCATATTCCAACTTGAGAGCGGTGATTCGAAAATTACATTTTAAACTAATAAAAGTTTGATCATCTTACCACAATTTTAAAAATGTTTTTGTAAAGTTTTTTTATAACTAATTATAAAACATTAAATTAAACACAACAGTTTTTATTTTTTTTTTATATATACATTTAATTTTTTTTAATATTATTTTAATAGTTTTTTTTTTCAATAATTACTATTATTAATTATTTAATTAATTTTATTAATTTATTTGAATTTTATTTTCTAAAAATTTTAAACGATGTAATGTAAAATCCTTTAATATGTAATTTATTTATTTGTTTTAGACCTTAATTTAAAAATAGGAATTTTAGAAATATTTTGGTGTAATTTTTATATTTCTATTTTTAAAAATATTCTTCGAAAATTATTATCAAACTTTTCACTTAAGACTTATCACACAGAAATACAAAGATAAATCAAATAGTTAATACAAAAAATTCTATTATTAAAAAACAATTTTAATTTCTCACACAAGAAAAATAAAACAACATAAAATATACAATTTATTGGATATTTTTCTAAAAATTACGAAAGAATGTTTACATATAATTATAGTAATAATAATAATGAAAGAATTTACTAATTTATACAATATGAATTATTATTTTATTGTTGTTAGTTAAAAGAATAGATTGATTACAAGAGTCAACTTAAAAAAAAAATTGAAAAAATTGAAATTTTAACAGGAGTTTCTTTCATCTGAGTTATATTAAACCCAAAGAAATATTTGAAAATTAGTGGAATTTGCTGACATTCAAGTTTTAAAACTTCTCTTTACATCTTAATTTTTAATACAAATTTTGCTTCTAAAATCAAATAGTTTAGCTCATATTAAAAAACTCAATTTTCGATTTAATTTGGCAAAATATAATAGAAAAATTTATATTAAATTATATTTTGAATTATTGGACGTCTTAGCTCAGCGAAATAAAAATTTAATTAGAAACCAAGAATTTTTAATGAAATATGAAATTCAATTGTACAAACAATATTTCTTTTATTTTTGATGAAAATTAAGTTCAGACAATGTGATAAAATTTTATTAATTAGGCTCAATTATATTATTTATAATTAGATTACTTTAAAACTAATTTGTTGCTATACAATATATATAAAAGTTTTCCCTCAAATATTTATGGTTTGGTTTTCGAAACAATTTACATTTGATTCAAAAATGAATTTCCATATTTGATTCAAAACAAAAAACACTAAAGAGTTCACACTTTCATATTATAAATACAACAAAACAAATTATTAAAAATAATTATAATTTTTACGCGGCTATTAAAAAATATTTTAAAATTACAAAAAAAAAAAACTATTTTACAGTGAACCTAACAACTAAAAAGCAGTCTACTTTATCGTTAAGAACACTTAAATGTAATCAATTTCTATCTATATTAAATATATTAATGTAATTTTTTCTTTAAAAATAATTATAAATATAATTATATTATAAATTCTATAATAATTATATGAAATACAAACACGCTACACTACAAATAAAACAAACAAACATTATAAAATCTAAAATTGCACAAATAAATTATTAAAAATTATTTTCTAAATTAATAATCCTATCAAAAAATTTATATTTAATTTATTTAAAAATATTTATTCATAAATAAATTAAATAAAAATATTTATATTAAAAAGGAAATGTTTAAAAAAATAAACATTTTTTTTTTATTTTTTTAATGTAATAAAATTTTAAAATATTATTCAAATTAGTGCTAAAATGGAAGATTATTTAAAATAACGATATGAATAAACCGATCAAATTGAGTTTTTTATGAAAAAAGATTAAAATTGAATATTTTTCAAAAAAATTCTTATATAGATTATAAAATATTTGGCAAATTTACGAAAACGAGTTTTTATATTGGACATTAGAAACTTTCATGTTTTTTTTTTTAGTTTTTCATGAGATTTTAATATTTTCATGATAATTTGATTTTTAATAATTTTATGACTTGATATTATAATTGATTTTATCAATAATATTTAAAAGAAATCTTAAAAAAAAATTTAAATATCGTTTTCTTAAAAAAATTTTAATTTTTTTTATAGTATTCTCTGGTTGTGCTATGAAAAAGTATAATATCGAATACAAATGAAAAAAAAAATTAATGTAATTGCAATTTTAAATTCTTTTTAATAATTTTCGGATAAAATAATTATTTTGCAATTAATATGCAAATATATTATGTATTTGTTAATTTTGTAATAATTAGTAATGAATGCATTCTCAATCAACAGAAACTCAAATATATATTTTATAAATAATTTCCAAAAAGATTAAAAAAATTTCATATTTTTCTATTATATTTATTAGTATTTAAGCCATTAGTTACGTAGTTAAATATTATTATTATTATTTTTATTATTGTAATTATTAATTATTATTAATATTATTATTATCATTATAAATTTTAATAAAATTTACATAAAATTTCTAATATTTTATAATTAATATGCAATAATGAAATTTTCGAGTAGATTATTGAAAACATTTTATTTTACAATTTTTTTTTATTATTCGACATTTTTTTGTAATTTTATAAAAAAATTAACATTATTCTGAGTTTATATTAATTCAATTATTAATTTTTCAATAAATTAAACTATTTTAATCTAGTTAATTAGTTATTTTTATATAATTTTTTATTGTTATATTTTGGTTTATTTCAATTTTGAACTTGATATATAATAATGTAAGCATTTTTCTTTTTAAAACATAAAATTATTAATACCAAAATGGTTAATTTAATTAGAACTTCTTTTTTATTTAAAGAAAAATTTTATTATATATATATTTTAAAATTCTCATTAATAATTGTTAATAAAATTAGTTGGGAGAACAAAATGTTTTTTATTATAACAAATTTTCCATTCATATCGCTTGTTTTTTTTTTTAAATACAATATACTAATTATAGGTAAATAACAAATTTTTAAAATTATGTTCAATTATATTCAATCATTTTTTCAAAAAAAAAAAAAAATTTTTTATTGCAAAAATGTTAAAGAAAAGAAAAATATTTCACACAGAAAATACAATTAAAATATTGTATAAAAATATATGAATATTGAAATAAAAATAAAAGTAAATAAATTCCATTTGAAAAAAAAACAGAAATAAATTATTATAAAATTTATGAAATGGTAAATAAATATAATATTAAGAGCTCAATAATTTAATTTTTAAATGAATGAGAGTTTACAATTTTAAAAAAATATTTGAAAAAAAAAATTTAACTATGTATATAAAAAGTTTATAATTATTATGTATAATTAAATTTGCACTTATCTCATTAAATTTTTATTAAAAATAAAATTGAATTAAATTCATTTATATTTAAATATAAAGAAAATTATCAACTCTATCATGACTTCCACTCGTAGAATCCTACAAAGTACGAACATAATTAAGACGTACCAATAAATAGCAGTACCATTTCTTGAAGTGTTAAAATCAGTATTTTATTTCAACTAACAAATATTTATTTTATATATTTTTTATTGCTATTTTCAGTAAACAACTTTCATATAAAAGAATATTTTTTTAAAATATCCTTTTGTATGAAAGTATTGTAGTTCTTTTAGTTTTTGGAAAATAAAAATTCATGACAATATGAATTCATTTCCTTTCATGGTAGAGCTGTATGTGTTAGAGTAACTCAAATTCAACGCAAAAAAATTCAAAATTGAAAAATTTAAAATAACTATTCTCTTTAAATTGCTTATTACGAGTGATTATTTCTTTCATAGACTTTTAAGGGTAATTTTTACTATGAACATAATTTATGATTAATCCATTACGAATACGGAGCAGAAATTTAGTAGTTTGTAATTCGTTTATAATATGATATTCGTAATTTTTCGAATTTCAGAGCTGCGAACGAATTTCATGATGGGAGTGTATATTAATATATAAGTGTGTATATATATGACAAAATTTTGTATCATTAAAATTTTTGATACATTAGAAGATAACAAGTTTTTAATTGAAATTAATCATTAGGCTCTTATTTTATATTACCATAATTGTCCTATTTAAAATTTTCTTAATGTTGTTTTTTAGGGAATAAACTAAATTTTGTCTGTCCAAATTTTCTTTTTCCATAAAAATTTTACTATAAAATAAAATTTAAATTTTTGTATAAGTCATATTAATTAATGTGTTTTTTTTAAAGTTCAAAGGTAAATAATATAATTGAAATTATAATATTTTTTTGTATTACATATTATATAAATGATAATCAGAAATAAAATTCATTATATATAATGTAAAAAATAAAAAAGAAAAAACAATTCCAAAAAAAAAAATTAATGTATAATTACAAAATAACTAAGATAAATCTACTATAAAAATAAAATTTTCTTATAAAAAAATTTATAAGTTTCGAATATCGAATAATTTTTTAATTTAGTTGTTTTTTTTTTATATATATATAAATATATGTATATTATTTATATACTAATTTTTAAATAATATTAATTTTGAATTCTAGTTCTTATTTATTGGATTTTTTTTTTTTAAACATTTTGTTAAATTTTTTTTTATATACATATTCGTTTTTTATCCATATGTATAATTGTACATATTTATAGTATATATATATATACAATTTCTATATAATTTTTAATTACATGCACATAAAAAATTTATCTAATATTTGTAAAAAGATTCAGTACACTTTTATTCTCTTTTTGGCTTCTTGCTTTACTAAATACATTCCAAAAACGTAATGTTTCATCACCAGCACCAGTAACAATAGCCTCACCATCTGGACTTAATGCTAAATATAAAACTCTATATGAATGTCCAGTTAATTTAGCAACTTGTGTTAATGATGGATATTTCCATACTAAGATTTGATTTTGTGAATAACCATGTGTTGATACTAATTCAGATGAATGTTTTGACCATGCTAAATTACATACTTGTGATCCGGTATCAACACATTGCATTGGTTGACCAGTTAATGTATTCCAAAAACGTATACAACGATCAGCTGTACCACCACCACTTGCTAATAAACCATGATGATGTGGTGACCATGCAATTGCTTTAACAGCAGCCATATGTTCAGTATATGATTGTACTGGATTTAATGAATGTTGATTCCATACATATAAACGATTATCATTACCACCGCTAGCTAAATATTGATTATCTGGTGACCATTTTAAACCACATACCTCCTGACGGTGTCCAACTAAACGTCGTTCAATTTGTTGTGGTGATGTTCTTGTATCACGTTGCATTATTAAACGATCTCTTGAACCACTTGATAATATATCACTATTCCATGCTAATGCACCAACACGTGCCGAATGACCAATTAATTTATTAATCTAAAAAATAAATAAAAGAAAATTTATATAGATTAAAGCCATACTTTTTAGAATTAAATATTAAAAAGAATAATAAGACGCCCTCCTAAACATATGCAATCTATAAGATTTAAAAGAATTTTCTATTGTTTAATTATTGCATGTTGTTTTACTGAATTAATTTAATTAATTCAAAATGGAAAGTGAAATTCGATGTTGAAAACTGGATTTTTTTTATTTTTTTTTGCTTCATTATACTTTAATTAATATTTAAAATTAATTATGTGCAAAAATATAGTAAACTTATTTAAATAATTCAGAAAATTCATTTTAAAACGTAAGTTAATTACAATAAAATTTTGAGAAACTTGAGCTTCTATAAGAAAGATAGTATTATTTTTCGTAATTAAAAAAGTAATATTAAATATTATTATTCTAATTAAGAGAAAAGGTATTTGTGATTAATGATACAAATAGATATTGCAGAAAGAGTTGAAAAATTTCATGTATGAATTAATTAGCTGCCGCCTCAATTTTAGATTTTTCATTGATTCTGCAAATATTGAATTAACTTTTCAACAAATTTAATAAATTCGAGCTTATGAAATTTACTTAATTAAAAATTTTATAAATATTTCATAATTTCCTTTTCTCTATTTTTGTAAATTTCATAACCATTGTTACGTGTTGGATTTCACAGGTGATTCATAAAATTCAAACAGTTTATAACATGTCGAACTACATTACAATGAAATCAGAACAAAAAAGATATTAAAAAATGTAAAATTAATGATAAAACAGAAAGAGCACATTCATTGTAACTCTTGTGCTTGTAACAGTTTGGAAATTATTGTTTTATCACTGAGCTAAGGAAGAAAAATTTAATAAATTTGTACAAATAAAAATTGCAAATTAATTTTGATAAGACATTCGTAAACTGCAGTTGATAAAATCAAGTTAAATTGTAATATTATCCATACAGAAATTATTTTTTCAGGGATTTCAAAGTTATTAGATTTCAGACAGAGGTTTCCAATTAATTAATTTAATAGAATAGAGTGAAATTTAATGTTACCATAATGTAATTTTTGCTTATCAGGAAATTAATAAAATTTAATTTTATTTAATTTTTAGAATAAATACACGTGTTTCTCTTTATAATTATAAAATTTGATTTGATAAAGAAATATACATAGGTGACACAATATGACTATCCGTCGGCTCTTGTGCTGATATAAATACCATCAAATGAAGGAGTTGAGTATAGTTTCACGTCGCATAAGAAAAGTATAAGGAATTATTGAATTTCTCTATAGAAAAGCATAGCAATTAGCCGAATATATTAATAATCATCGAAAATTATACTAAAATAATAAAGTATGTACTACTTATGAATGTTATGCTTTAAATCTCAAATTCAATTTTCATCTCAACAGAATACTGGTGTTTCTATGAAGATTTCAAATCATTTAACAATAACTTTTTCACGAAATTGTAACCAAATTAAACGGTAAACTAGGTCAAATTATTCTTTTTTTTTTTACTTAATACTTAAAAATTTCAAAATTTCCAATATTAATCGATTAAACAAATATACTTAAAAAAAAAATCGGACATTAGAAAAACATTTCTTCTATTGTACCTACAACAAGAAAAGAAATCATACAATCTGAAGTGATTGTAAATTTTATTAATATGGTAATTGAGTGAATGATTTTTGAAAATAATTTTAATAGAAAAAAAAAAATTAAAAGATTAATAAGCAGAAAATAAATTCTATACAAAAAAATATAATGAGGCAAAAGTTTGTACACTTCAACTCAAGTATGATCTTAAAAATACTTTACAAATTCATAAGAACACGAAAAAATATTTGAAAATTAAGAGTTTAAAATCAAAGAATTGAAGTCCTTATTAATGACAATGGATTTCAATGTAAAATGAAGCTTCCGTATAGAGCCTAATATGAAACTACACTTAATTTTCAAATAAATAAGTAAGTTGCTTTCAAAAATTTAATGATCATCTTATAAATGATTCAATCATAAATTTTTCAATATTTCAATAGAAAGTTTGAATTGAAATTGTCTTTTGAACACTAAAAAGAAACAAAACAATTAAAATAAGTGAAATTTAGTTGGTTTTTTTTTTATTTGCTTACTTGTTTACTAGCTGCAACATCCCATACAGTTACATAACCATGATGTGTACCAACAGCTACTAAATTTCCTCTTTCATTCCATGATACTGATGTAACAGTATTTGTATCAGAGCTTAAATCACAAAGTCTTGTAACCTAAAAAAAAAAAAACAAAATAACTTATGAAAATTTCAAATAAAAAGTTTTAAATTTTTTTTTGTATTTATTAAACAAGAAAAAATAAATAAAAATTAACACCTATTCAATTAACAAATACAAATATTTCTATTATGATAAATTTCTATTGACACACATTTTTAAATATGTGGGTATGTATAAATATTTATTAAAACTCACCTGACTAGTACATGCACTCCATAAATATACGCAACTACCTAAACCAACAGCTAAAACATTTTGTGATGACCAATCAACTAAATTTAAATAAAAATCATCTTGTAATTCAGGTGCATCTAAAACTTTAAATGGTATACGAGATATTTTTCTAGTTGCTTTTCTTGGTGATCTTAATAATTTTTGACTTTTAATACTAACTGGTGATAATGAATATGGACATTGTTCATTAAAATCCTGCAATATAAAAAGAAAAGAAAATTAGTTATTTTATTTTAATAATAAAATTCTAGTATTTTATTAAATAGTACTTTAGTAATTTTAGTAAGTTTTAGTATTCAAAGTAAATTTTCGATCGCACATAATAAAAAATCTAAATGGACGTAGCAAAAATATATTGGACAATTCAATTCAATAAGTATAGATAGTGGGACAATAAATAAAGTTCTAGGAACTTAGTTCATTATTTCTCAACTGATTTCCTTAATTGCTTCCCTTTATTACATTGCAATAAAACAAGTGTCTGCGTCTTTATTAAATTCTCTTCAAAATATTTTATTGCTAAGTTAATTCGCCTCTATAATGCTCACCAAAATTTTTTCGATATCGGAACCAAATGCAGAAGGATAAAGATATTAAAATTTTATTTACTGGTCTGATTAGTTTAGTAGTCAATCTGGTAAGATTTTCTCTGATTTAATTTTTATATCATCTCTTAAAGCAGCAGAACTTTAGTTTCTAATTCATTACGCTTCGCTAATCAAGAAATTACCGTACTTACGGGAACTAGAAATTAATTTTTAATTATTATATAATTTAAGATTTTGTTCTCACAAATTCAGAATCTTATATATTAGTCATATTTCATTAATTTGAATGTAATGACATTCTTTTTAACATCAACTTAAGCCTATAAAATGCAATTTAATTTTCAAATTCCTTTTTTTTTTTAGAAATTAGAAAGTTTTCATATAGAATCCTAAGCAAATATTCATATAATCACATAATTTTACACTAATCTTCTTTGGTTTATTGATTTTAATGGTATTTCCGCTAATTAATATCACATTTACCGCTTAATAAATTACTACCAAATTTGAACTTAAACAGAAATTCTTTAAAAGTGACAAATTCTAATAAAAAAAAATTCTTAAAAAGAATAATTCTTTTAATCTTTTTTTAACCTCAAAATGAAGAATTATTGAAAATATGTGTAAAACGGATGTACAACAATAATAACATTGTTTGGTTTAAAATCAAAGTTTAAATCATCAATTTGAGATTATAACTAATAGCCTTTAACCCATATAATATCGAAGGTGTTAGTGGCATATATTCAAAATTTTATTAAAAGGATTACACTTATACATTTAAGTGCACTATATATTTGTTATAGCTCGTTCTCAATATAAAGTCGAAAATTTAATTTTTCATTATAGTTCGTTCTCAATATAAAGTGTTATATTGTGTTAGCGCACAAAAATCATTTAGTTTTGAACTTTTATTTGCAGAAGAATATTGTCAATTTTGCCATCTGAAACACATAAATTGTAAAATTGCCTTAACATTGGAAGTGTGTTACTTTATTATTTGAATACAGCTTCTTGATCTTCTCTCATTGAATGAATATTTCACATCCGTGTTGACAGAAGTCAATAATTACATTCGTAAACATTCATTGACTTTACATGCAGCTTTTATTGCGTATAATGTCGATTGTAATTACAAACGATTACTCTGTCATGTCAACTATTTGTCAAAAATGATACACCAACAAGAATGTCGTAAATTGATGTAAAGGTGTACAAAGCGTTTCTTGTGGTGACACACCTTATAGGTATATAAGGATTATACGATAGTATTTAAGACAATGGATTATAAAAAATCAATCAAAAAAAATTATTCATCTCTGTAGTTTTTTATTATTATTAAAATAAATTTCAAAAAATTGAATTTCTTATCATTTAATTACAAAATCCAAACAAAAAAAAAATATTGTCAATTATTCATGATGAATAAAATTGAATATAAAAAATCTTTAATCCCATGAATTAAATGAAAAAAAAAAAAAAAACAGAAAAAATTTGGAACGAATTGCTGATAATTTTTGCGATTTGTGCGAATAAATTTATTTATGCCGAATTTATTTATCAAAATATAAAATTGGGTCGAAATGTCAAGAAATTTTTGCAAAAATATTAAAAAAATAGAGGGCAACGTGTACATTTTGTATGCCTAAATTCAAAGTGATTATTTTGTGTATGTTTTTTCAAAAAATTAAAATTAATTCAAAATACTTAAAATATTCATTAAACTATTGAAGTAAATTTGAAGTTGAAAAATTAGAATTTAAATGTTGAGCTGATTTTTAATATAAAAAATAAAAAAAAGATGTAGTTTCGCTCAAACTTTAATGAAATTTAATTTAATAAAAAAACAAACTGTCTCTAAGAGGATTAAGTTACAATGACTTCATCAAATTTTAAATTTCTTATTTACTCAAAGTATAATAGAAATAGATTTTTTTAAGAGATTCAATATTAAAGGTAAGGCAAGAAAGATATTAAAAATTATCTTAAAGTAAGTGTTACCAATTTCTAAGAAATCATGTTATAAACACGATGAGTGATTGAAACCTCCAGTTTATTATTACCATTTTCATTATAAAACTATACAGTCGACACACGAATATTATTTCAGTAAAATATTCCGCCGTAACTATACAGCAAACAAAAAACCTCGATAACTACTCCAAAACTCCGTTTTCAGGCGTACTTTAATTCTATTGTTTACCTTTATTGTTTTCTCTGCAAATTCAAAACTTTTTGCCTCACATAATGTGCTTTTATAAATATTTGATTTCATATTTTTAAATTTCTCATAATTTATTCCCTTTCGTTTTACTTTCGAAAGGGCGTTAGATTGTATTTGCAATATTTCAGGTCAAAATAGCTATAATAATTGACGTCTTTGAAATAACAACTCGCACAGATAAATTTTTTTATCTGCCTCCGACCACCAGGCATGACTTATTGTACCTCTCCCATATTGCATTTACACTAACCAATACCAGAAGATTTCGCTTAAGGAGTGAAGAACGCGAGCTATGCAACATTGAAAAAGCCCCGGCCAAATCATCTCCACCTTCTGCACAGTCACACAGAATATGTATCGCCGTCTCCTCATCAATCAGAAAGAATCTAAACAAAAGGGAGTCCAATTTGCCGAGTTCGTGCAAGTGATATATCAAAGAACAATGCACAGTGAAGAAGAAAGATCCAATTTTATTTATATTTACTTTAGAATGAAAAAAAAATAATTGTATCTAACGCTAAATAGATCATGGCGCAAATTCCTGTTAAATTTTTGAAGAAATGATTTCCAAAGATGCCAACAGCGCAGAAATCACATCAAATGGGTGCATTTTTACTTAAGATATAAAATTACTTAATGAAATCTAACAAGAGTATTACTATTGAATGTAATTTCTCTCTTTAAAGAAAAAACATGTCAAAAAGTGAATATGACAGTTTTGTTTTACAGATAACCCTCTGAAAAGTACAGGAAAAAAAATCAAATTTGGATGTATTTTAAGAAAATTTCTTGAATTTAATTCGAAAAGCATATATTCTCAAGGCATTAAAAAAGAAATCCGTAATTTTAATAAATAAAAGTTAAAAATTGTATTGTTTAGTAAATTTTTTGAAAACACGTTCTGAAATTTTCAAAATAGAAAATTTGAGGTTATGTGACTCAGCGTACTCGATGTTTTATGTGCCCCCTCCCTCCCCCCTCATTTTACATTAAAATTATTTTACCAAAAAAGAAAATCTATAAAACTTTTTATAGACTAAAAACTTTTATATTAGAAAATTTGTTAAATTTTAAATGTTATCCATTTTTATTTTTAGAAATTTAATTTAATTTCATTTAATAAAAAAAGTAAAAACAAAAACAAAAGAATAAAAGACAAACGCTAATTAAATTTAATGTAATTTTTGTGTACATTTTTTTTTTTTGATGAACTCTTTCCATGAAAAGCTATTAAAAAAAATCTAGTAAAATAAAAATAAATAAAGTTTAATTTTGTCACATTTTATCACATACTTTTTAGTTAAATTTTATTTTATTAAATTTTTTTTTTATTATTCTTATTGTGTTTTTTTTTTTCAACTATATTCTTAACTGATATTTTAAATTTTATTAGGAGTTTTTTTGTTTTCTAAACTAACTTGCTTAGAATTTTAAATCATATTTTTTTTTAACTTATTTATGTATCAAAGTTTAAAATCTTTAAAAGAAAGAGAATTTTAAGTACATTTTCTTATCGTTTTATAAGGAGCGAATGAACTTTTTACACAAAAAAAAAATATCAAAATCAAAATGGTGATTTATTACAAAACGTGCTTTTCCATCATTTTTATTAAAAAAAAAAAAACATGTAACTCAAATTAAATAAATAAAAAAATACTTAAATGTAAAGACAAATGAAGGCAGTTAAAATGTCTGTAAGGAAAAAATTTAATATGTAAGATTTTGAAATCATTTTGAATTTGATTGTGTAGCATGCAACACGCATTTATTGACACACGATAAACTAATGAAACTAATTTTCAAGGAAAATCAATAAATTATTGACATGAGAGGAAAATTTTAAGGTAAAAACAAGACAGATGAAAATATCCTTTAAAAAGTGAAATTAAATTATTGGAAATTTTTAAAATTATTGAAATTAAATATTAGAAAATCCTATAACAGGGTGATCCTAACTCACGAGTGCCCAAGGTGGCACTCGTCTCTACTTTCTCTGGCACGCGCTAATAAATATTTTAGTGCAAAATTTTTTATATTTCCGATATTATATTTGCTTAAAATATAAAAATTATATTTGCTAAATATTGTTTCCAAAAATTTTTTAAATTAAGCCTGTTAAGCAACAACAAAAATCTCAGTAATTCTATATTTATAATGTATGTATAAATAAGATTATGTCAGTTATAAATAAATCGACATATTTGTTTAAATGACAAATATTTTTTGTTTATTTTATGGCACGCAAGTATTTTCATTTTTCTAAAATAATTATTTTTGGCACGCAGTCCGATAAAGTTTTGCCATCCCTGTTTTATAACATTTCCATCATAGTCTGCTAATAAACCAATTTGGAAAGATCTCCATTTCTGCTTCAAAATTATAGTTTACAAATAATTTCGCTCGATCGCACCAACACTGCACGA